GGTTCCAAAGGAACTCAGTGACTTAGGCAGTAGTCCTTGACCATTCCGCATATAGGCGAGAAGCTCGAATTTACATAACTTTTTTATACATCCGATCCGAAGGCAGTTCTTGAAAAAGCGGACTTGTTGCTACCACTCTGAGCGCAAAACAAGACACAAACTTCTCGAGTGTCCGGGCGACAGAACCATACAACCGCAGGTGACTTGTAAATCTGGGGGGCACATGAAAGTTCTTGCGTACCGAGAAGCTGCCCTTGTCTTTCGAACGTACAGATCAATAAGGGAGGATACCATGGTAGGGTTGGAGGCAAAGTCGCGAGGACATGGAAAAGATGCCTTTGCAGAGAAAATCAAACCTATCAGAATAGACACTCGGGCGAGTTGGTAAGAGTTTATAGTAAAAAATTAAAGACGTTTACAAATCTCTGCAACGCGAAATTATAGCGCCACTCTGGAGGAGGAGCAGGGGATGGTATGGAGGTGAGGATATGCCCCTCGTCCTCCGTACCCTCTCCTCCTGGCCTCCTCCTCTTCTCCTCATACCTCCTCTTTTCCTCCTCCTGCCCTCCTCTTCCTTCTTTCCCTCTTCTCCTCCCCTCCTCATCCACCTCCGTACCTTCCCCTTTTCCTACTCCTCCGCACGTGACGTCAGTTTTCCTGCTAGATCTAGCGAATAAACTGAATTTGTTCATAGGTGACGTGGCACCAAGCCATGTGAGGTAATTTCCCCCACTAAATTTAGCGAGGAAACTGATTTTGTGTTGAGGTCATGTGACGTAAATTTTTCCACATTTAGAGGGGAATCGAATTGCTGTCAAGGTCACGTGACGTCAATTTTTGCGCTACATCTAGCGAACTAATTGAATTTGTGCATAGGTTACGTGACACCAAGTCATGTGATGTCATTTTCCCCTCTAAATTTAGAAGCGAAAGTGAATCGGTCTTGAGGTCACGTGACGTCAATTTGCCTGCTAAATTTAGCATGGAAATGAATTGCTGTTGAGGTCACGTGACGTCAATTCTCCCGCTAAATCTTGCAGAGAACCTGCAGTTGCTCATAGGTGACGTGACACCAAGTGATGTGACGTCATTTTCCCCGCTAAATTTCGCGGGAAAACTTAATTGGTGGTGAGGTCACGTGACGTTGATTTTCCCGCTAAATAATTGCTGGTGAGATCACGGTACGTTAATTTTCCCGCTATATCTAGCGGAGAAACTGAATTTGTTCATAGGTTACATAGCACCAAGACATGTGACGTCATTTTTCCCGCTAAATTAAGCCGGGAATTAAAGTGTTGTTGAGACCACATGACGTAAATTTCCCCACTAAATTTAGCGCGGTCACGCCGACGCCGACGGCGACGCCGCTCAGCCCGGAAGCGGGCGCCTAAGAGCTGCGCTCTGAAACAGCACGATGGGACGAGCACAAAGAAGAGATGCACAGGAGGAGTGGCTGACTCGCGATTGAAATATTATTAGGAAAGAAACACGAAAATTACGCTGCTGCTCACGGAGGCACTGGCACGACGTCAGCTCCAGACGCTTCTTCACCTCAAGTGTTATATTAATGCCGCGCGCGCAGCTGGCCAAGTAGGCAGCGCGCGCGTGGCCTAACGGTTATCGCGCTTGCTTTCCACGCTGAAAGCCAGGGTTCGATTCTTGGCCGCGGAGGCACATTTTTGTTGACTCTGTAAATTAATGTTCTGGTAAATTCGAGAACCATGTTGCTTGTTCGAGGTTAGAATATTCTACGCGCCGAACCTTCTACGCCGAACGATCCAGAAACTCACGAGGGTACATAAGGGAATCCGCCAGGCGAACGGTGTCAGTTTTCGCCCAGCGTTCGACTCTGCTGCTACGCCGACTTCGACGCCCGCGACGCTCCGTTATTATCTTTTGTACCCTTTTATTTTTGGCACAAGTTCGCCACATGAAACGTTTATTTCTTTCTGTTTATTTATTGTTTATTGTTTATTGGTCACCACCCGTGACAATATATATAACGCTATCCGTAAGGGTCATTGATGGCTGGTTTACGCACATCTGTCTGTCTTTTTTGTAATCTGGTAGGTCTTAACTGTATCGCGGGACAATCGGCCCTTGTGTGGGAACAACACTGCTGTATCGGTGAAACGTGGTTTGCACCCGCATCCCGGCAATGCATCACTACATGCGAATATGCGGTTCCTCTCAAGGAACTGTGGTGTTCTGGGAGTGGAATGTTCATGCATCGCCCGGTCTGGCCTGCCCTGTAAATGAAAGCCCCGCACAAGAACGGGCTCCTGTCGACCGCTACTTTCAAGCAGGATACGAACTTCATATAATATTAGACGCTACACTCCCTACGGCTCTACTGAGTTTCTTCGCTTGCCCACTTGTTCACGGAAGAACATATGAAGGTTATGTTGTTGTGGTTATAATGACAGAATATCATTATATTAGTATTTAGGAATATTTTTCCGTTCGAACCTCTCGTGAAATGTTTACGTCGAACAAACATACAAAAAAAATGCTACGCCTCTGGATATTGCGGAGTACCTCAAGAGACACATCACCTCAAGCAAAAAGAACAGGTTTTAAAGGCATGATCTTACCAGTTATAGAGTAGGTGAATGCTGAACACACGCATAAAAAAAAATTCAAACACTAAAACTATACGAAACAAGGCAGTTCGCTTTACCCACGATGATTATAGATAAACCACAACCGTTACTGAATTGCTGCAATAGAACTGGGTTCACACAATAAAAACGCACCTAAAAGTGAATCGCTTAAAAATGTCCTCTTCAATTATTGATGATGCCCAAAAGTTGAGCGAAGATAAATGTCCACAATTCTCGAGCTCCCGTATTTAGAAATAAACACTACATGTCTATTGGTCCTTAAGGGTACCAGGTAAACTTCGGACGTGTTTAAGTGCTCGTCTTTGTAAGGTATATTGAATGATTGGATCTCGCCTGATAGTGTTGTCAATAGCCCAAGCGCCTTTCTGTTCGTAAGAAAATCTTGCCTCAGATTTTCCGTCAGAATGTCCGACTGTGTATTATGATCATGCGTTCTTGTAACCGTACCCTCTCCTGCCCTTAGCTGTCAATAACTGTAACTACAAAATTAAAAATATTTATATATATATTTTTAGTTTAGCTCGTTATCAGCGTTTCTTTGTCGAACCACGCACTTGGGGCTAGTTTATTAGTAGGATGTTATGCCTCCAGAGCGCGAGCAGCGCGAGCTGCTCGCTTTTTGGAGGCATAAAATGCCGCTACTATGGTGCCTGGAACGCGTCTCCGACTGGTGTGTTTACCGCGCCCAAAAAAGTGGTCCCTCGATTTCCGCCTGATGACGTCATTGAAGTGTCATGCTGTCGCCGGTCGCGATCCTGGCGGCGCCTCAACAGTTGTGGTGTATATGGCAGACGCCTGTTCTTCTGCAGGTCGCTCTACACTGTGACAGTTCACGGAAGCTACAGCAGCCGAAAGTTGGGACACCTGGGACGCCGTGACGACAGCGACACTCGCGTTCGCTCGTGCTTTTCGCCAGCAGTTCTACGGCCGACCGCCAGGATCGCGACAGTCAACAGCATGACACTCCGGCTTTTGTGACGTCATTTGCTGCCACTTGGTGACCACGTTTGATGTATGGGCGGAATAGGACGCTAAACACTCCAGTCGGAGACGCGTTCCAGGCGCCAAACCACTACAGTGGAGGACATATAAAAAGAACCACGGAGCCGGAGTTCGGGGAAACCCGAACTCCGGCTCGCGCTGCTTTTTATTCGTCCTCGGCAGAAAAATGTTGTCCAGGCGTTAGAAATGGTAAGCGCCAGCTATCTAAACGCCTCGAGCATCGACGTTTTCCCAGTCTCGGATTTGACAGGCAGGGAAAGGCTGACGCCCGCAGACACCGCTCGGCATTGACGGCCGTATGTAAACGTGTAAATAACGGCCGGGATTTTATTTTCAAAAGAGTGCGCCAAGTTGTTCTGTCTGTCATTGTCGCATTATAACAGTTTCTCTTTACATTGTTCTCTGCAGAAGACCCGAAACCAAATGCAAGACGAAACTGCAGTTTTCTTCTACGCTTCATCCGTGTAAGGAAATACAATGTCGCAGCAGCACTGGTGACTGTCAACGCCTATTACAAGAACCGTGCGGCATATCTTTCCATCTACAATAATTTCCTACCTTCAAACGCAAAGCACGACGCAAGGCTTATGTTTATGGTCCTTCCACATCGAGATATCCATGGGCGGCGAGTCGTGTTGATGAAAGTAGGTAAGAAAGCTTTAAATATTTTTGTATAAGGGGTTTATATAACAATCCAGACAAGCAACGTCTTTTAACTCTACTCAGTCACAAGCAGGCAAAAAAAAACATTTGCTCGTGGTTTACATTTATACAGCGAGACGTCGATCTGGTGATATTGGTTCTACTTTGGAAAGAACTAATTTAGTCAGTGCAGTACAACCGCCACCTTGGTGTCTATTACGTAAACTGAAGGGGAATCACTAGTGTATCACGTAAAGTGAATTACCGCTTAAATCACGAGGCAGTGACTCATGACAATGCTTATAAACGAAAATTGCCAGGTGTGGGCATTAAGGCCAGAGTACTAAATTTCTAGAGCACTCGCGTTCGGTCCACCTGCCCCGAGCTGCGTTACCCACATTCAGTTTTCAGTCGACCGAACGTTCGCGAAATAAAGTAATATCTGGGATAAAACTTCGTTTGGAAAGGACCGGAATTTTAGTATATTCTGATTCTTCCTCCTGTTTCTTTTAGAACCAAGAGGAATTTGACGCTTAAGCCGTAAATATATTCGTTTAAGAGATAAAATCTATTTCTTATTATTTGGTGAATAGTTATTAGCGTCTAGTCCCCATTCCAGGTTCCTGGATACCGAGCCTCGTTAGTCACTGCGAAGCTCAGCAGGCACATTTTCTGCTCCTGGAGTATCTGTCAGCGGAACCCTCGTCACAGACTGTTGGAATCTCCGTAGTCATGGATTACAAAGGGCTGAGCATGACTAAACTTTTGGCGCTGAACATTGGTCTGTTGAAGCAATGTGTGGAATTCATACTGGTGAGCTCCAAGTTTTTATTAACCGTTTAATGTGAATTAACCAAAGTTGATTAATAAAGCTTTGTAAAGCCCGGTTGTAGAGACTACCTACATTTGTGGAGTTCAAGAATTAAAATATTTTCAATATTTAGCCAAAGCAAAATAAAAAATAAGTATATATTAAGTTTTACCAAATGAATAAAATGCACATCAGTTCTTAGGTTTCATGTTTAATGATTAGCGACATGTCCCTTCTACGCGCTATTGGATATCCGTTGGGTATGTCGATGACAGTGAGGTGTTTCTGGTCGTTCATGTGCCTAATCAAAACCTGTCACGTTTTTAAAACTTCAATAAATGTACTGCCTTATCGTGTAAGCGCGAGCAGTAAACAATAACTTTTACAATCAGTGCAAGGCAAGTCAAACTCATTGTGTGCGAATGCTTGAAAGGATAAAACATCAAGGACGGGGACGGAAACAGGAATTCTGTCAAAAAAAATACCTGTTTTCGTCCCCGTCCTAGATATTTTATCCCTTGAAGTATTCGTATTCATTGACTAGCAAGCTCGTTTTCAATTATTACTGCACTTGTGTGTTGCGTTGTCCTTAGTCTTTTCGCCAGTCTCGGGGTTTTGTCCTAACCTTAACCTTCACCAGCTCGTTTGCGTCCTCACTTTTTGTACGCCGAAAAGCTGTTTTGGAATGACGCATATAAGGCTCGAGTACGGTGGCGGCGTTCAGATTGCAGAGTTTGTTCTAGTAATTTCGGATTCTTTCTCCTATTTGGCTTCAAGGAACCTAATCAGACAAAAGTTTATTCGTTGGTAAAACAATCGCACATTTTATGAAAGCTGTGCCCGTATCATTTGCGTATAGATGTTCTGAATCAGAGAATTGTAGTACTCACTAGCAGAGTGATTCTTGCACGCGTGTCGATGCATTTACATCAATTCCTTTTCCCTCGAAATCTTGCAATTATAATGTTCATGATTCCGGCCCTACAACCCTCCAGAAAAATTCAGTCGTCTTAATTTTAGGACATCGCACTACATGAAGGTGCCATTTCAAGCCGCAGTGTTTGCAACCCTCCCCCCCCCCCCCCTTCTTCCCCTAGACACTCTGTGGGTACTATGACTCCACAAAGCCAATAATGCCGACAATGGGCCCCGGTGGGCCTTCTAGCGCGTGAGTCAAATGGGTCGTTGGCCCTTTGAAGCAACCGCATACACCTAAGATGCTGTAGTAAGGTGGCCGGAGATAGTGCCTTCTGTATATCGAGATTTCAAAGAATGAACTTACCCGAGAAACAAGCTAAAATTTAAGAGCGCGAATTCTCTACATACGGTGGTCATCTGCATTTGAAAGACGTCTTGGTGACGCAACGACCAAGAGAAAAGTGGTAGCTGCTAACATATGGCCGAAATACCCCCGACAAATAATCCTTCTCGTTTGTTTTGTGTGCGTAAAAGGGGCACAGGCACATCAAAATCGTTATTTTTTATTATCCGAACCGATTGAAAACGATACCGGGACATTACCCTCAAAATTCGAAACTTGGGAATTCAGTATTGTTGAATTAAAAAAAAAAACAATTTCCAAATGCCGAATTTGAAGTTCCCGCGCGATCCGCGCCAGTGCAGACAATCAAATTTTGCGATCTCCTGCGACTCGACGTTCTTTCGGACCTCCGCTCCACGCTACGAAGCAAATTGTGCCGTTGCCACTGCGACCTGAAGCGAGGAGGAGATGAGCAGGCGGAATAGAAGGGCGCCGGCGCGGGAAAAAAACGGTTTCTTCCCCGACTCGCCGATCATCCTCTGCTCGAGCTCCGCCAAGTTTTCCGAGGGAGGATACAAATCCAGGAAGCGACATCACACTGAACTCTGATTTTTGGTATTTTAAAAAGAGTGTGTTCGCAATTGCGTTAAAAAAACATGTTTTACGATTGCCGTTATTAAATGTTATAGAAATGTCGCCTACAAAGCTTCTAAATTTCCTGATTTTTGACGTCACCGATCAAAAGAAGCAAGAAGGTGAGCGGCGGGAGATATACACGCCAAAAATAAAAAGGCGCGCGCGCGTGGGGTAAAGCGTTTTTCGCGATGCGTTTTTTTTTTTTTTTTTTGCGTGTCTATGATTACAATTTGCATCGTTTTAGACAATAAAAAAATACGACCTTTGGGGTGTCAGTGCCCCTTTAATTAAATGTGGTTCATTAGTAACAATTAACGCAATAATGCGCCACACGGGAAATGCCTGCGCCACATTTGACTGAAAAAAAAAAAAACGATTGCTTGCTATAGACCGTTTTATCGTGGGTAGCGCTATTTTGAGAGCGAGAGAGAAAAGGGGAAAGGGCTACCGGCGCTTTCCCCCTTTCTGATTGTGTAGAAAGAGGGAAAGTCCCGGATGAAAGGCTTCGCCGATGTTGGGTCTCTGCAGTGCCGGACCTTCGTTCGCGCTTTCTTCTCTGTTTTAAACTCGCAAACTTAATGTGAGCCACGGGCTTCGATAGCGACAGTCCCCCGGTAATCGGGACCCCATTGCTCGGTCATAGGGTGCACGAATAACGACAGAAAGCGTCGAATACTGTCCGAGGACCTATGTAGCCTGCATCGAATCCACCAAGGCGATTGTGGCCGCAATATCTTTAAGCTCCATCACTTTCCGCATGACTGGAACTGATGAACCATTCATAAATTTTCGCTCGGGATGGGCCTAATTCAACGTAGCCGTGTTCAGTAATCAACAAGCGATACACAACACGGGAACCTTATTTAACTTTTGTAAACACCCGAAGCTACCACCGATCGTTTTTCTGCGCTGCTTTTATCTTGCGTGCCTGTGTTCTTATATTTCCTTGTGGATGAACGACGAATACGTTCTAGGTGTGCCTATATTGAACCGCATAAATCCTTAAAGGGATAATACAACAAAATTGCGGCGCTAATTTTTTTGGTCTATATGTGTTCAAAAAAGCAGCATCACATCGCACATACCAATATCTTGTTAAAAAAAGTCACGAAAAGGAATTTTAAAACGAATTAAACGATTAGCAAAGAGCACCTGGTGGATGTCGCTAACGACTCGCTTGTAATGCCCGTCTAGGAACATTAACATCTAGTGACGGAGGTTGTCTCGTCTCCGGCCACGACGAGAGAAGAGGGGCAGGAGGAACACCCCTCTTCGCGAGAATGCCTTTTGTGTGTCGCAGAAGTCGCTATTGTCCCCCTACAAGATTACAGAAGATTAACCCGTCACTCAAAATTCGTACAAAAGCAGCCGTTTCGATGGCGGGAACGACTAGGCCATCCTCTCGACGTCAGCGTCGCCGTAGCTTTGCTCGTCTTGAGACGACCTACGTTACCTTACGATTGCGTTGGATGTCACGTGGTCTCCGCTGGGCCTTCTCCGAGCGCTTGCCAGAGTGGGCAGTTTATAACGAGAAATACAGCAACCAGGCTCAAAATACAAACGCGCGATTGTCATTTACGGATATTGGGGATCATATTCAACCTATTTTTGAACACGACGGGAATATTTCAAATTTCGTTGAAGTATCCCTTTAAAGCAGCCACGAATTTTTTTTACTGTTTGATGCACTATGTTGAGTACTCACCTCCAATTTCTATTGCTGGCGCGTCCGCTGCCTCTCTTCCCCCCGTCACCGCACTGGCGGATGCCATGACTCGAACAAAGAAACGTCCACACTGGGCTCGAAAACGAATTGAATACTAAACACTTACACACAGACGGGACAGGACATACACAGAGCCGACTATTAACTATTTAATACTTCTTCTTCCTCCACCTCCTCTGCTTTTTAGTCCCTTCGAGTGTTCCACGATTGCAAGAGAAGATGCACTTTTTGTATTTTTTTTAAAGAACAAAGCATAATAAGGAGTGCATATAAAAAATAAATCATAGACGAAAAGAGAAAAAAAAAATATACTACATAATCGAAAATGAAAAAAAAAAGAAAAAAAAAACTACCTGCAAATGCTCCAAGCTAACCCCATACATTTCCACTTCCAGTCACTGACATCGGTATCCCGCGGAAGTTTCGAGAACTGCTTCCCCATGACGGTCTTCGCGAGTCTCTGGCCCACAGCCGCAACACACCGTAGTTATTGTTTTGCTTTGGTGTGCAGCGTGATGGACGGACGGCAATCATGGAATGCTCGAAGGGACTGAAAAGAAGAGGAGGTGGAGGAAGAAGTACTAAATAGTTGATAGTCTGCTCTGTGTATGTCCTGTCCTGTTTGTGTGTAAGTGTTTAGTGTTCAAGCTGTTTCACACAGACATATACCAATTAGCTCAGCCCAAACCAGTTATTCGAAAACGGAGACCGGAACACACGAGACGTACCCTGCAGCGAATATCCAGCGCTTCAAAGCGACCAATCAACGGAAACGACCCACCAGTGGCACTCCAAGTAGCGCTTTTGCCGTCACTCTGGTATCGCGCAGTAGATCGCGATTCAGTAAAACCGATAGAACTAACTTTTCAACAATTTCCAGCCTCACCACGCGGCGGAAATGAGCCTTCAAATAAGTGTTGTATATAATAAAATCAAGTCAATGTCACTACTGCAAAATGTCAATATTAAGATAACTTCAGTTACAAAATTTTACAAGCTGAAACAGCAATTATCATGAAAAAACTCGCACACACCGTTTCGAGTAACCCCATGTTCATCGGCAATACAGCGATCGGTGCGCGCTCCATTCACAAAATGTTCCGAGCACAGTCGAGAGGATGTCGTTGAAAAAAGTCTTTTCGGTTTACGGATGCAATCCACTGCCGCCGGGGATTGCAGCCGCAATCGCCTTGGCGGATTCCATGCAAGCTACATAGGTCCTCCGACAGTATTCGACGCTTTCTGTCGTTATTCGTGCACCCTATCACCCAGCAATGGTGTCCCGATGAACGGGGGACTGTCGCCATCGAAGCCCGTGGCTCAAATTAAGTTTGCGAGTTTAAAACAGAGAAGAAAGCGCGAACGAAGGTCCGGCACTGCAGACACCCAACACCGGCGAAGCCTTTCATCCGGGACTTTTCCTCTCCCTACACAACCAGAAAAGGGGAAAGCGCCGGTAGCCCTTTCTCCTTTTCTCTCTCGCCCTGTTTCAGTAAAACGGTCTATTGGATATCAGCGTCTACACGCTCGCTCGTATACCTGTCCGCATCTGTCGGCCGCTGAGTTAATCAGACGCCATTTGGTCGTAGACGGACGCCATAGTTCGCAAAATCCAGTTTTTAATTTTGTGTACTCTTTACCCGGGTAAATTCATTCCTCAAAAATTTCGATGCACAAAATGAACTATGTTTGTACAAAATTTTAACGCGATGCGTTAACTTAAGACACCGATCTATATGGTGTCTTGAGAGAGGTCCAACAATCCACTTCACTCGCGTTTCCCTCAAACGCACCGGTTGTTGGCCGCAATAGAAATCTTAAGCCGCCATCGCGCCAATAGTACAACGTAAAACAAAACAGTCTTCACAATCTAGAGAGTTTTAGGGAACCGTTTTTCCACAGTCGATACTGTAGGATGAGCTCATTGGTACGAACTGCGCATGCGCAAGTCTTCTGCGGTGACGCATGCGCAGTTCGTACCGGAGGGCTCATCGTACGGTAATGAATGAGCAAAAACAGTTCTCTAAAACTCTCTACTGTCTTTTGTATGATGTGTGAACAGCGCGACTGCATGTTTCGCAGCGCCATTGCTATGTTTTATTAATGCTTGCCGTAAAGCTAATTCTAGCAACGCCAGAAAAGAAAAGAAGAATATTTATAGTTTAGCAAAGCTCGAGCTCAACAGTGATCCAGAAGTTGAAGAAGGAGATTTATTTGTATCCATAGTAACACTAAAAAGTAGAAAAAAGAACAAACCAAAAAGCGATCAGAAAAACGAAATTTTTTCCGCTGTTCTGTCCGTTTTTTTTTTTTCCTAAGTTTTATGGTTCCCACTGCTGTCATTCAACAGCTCGCCTGCATTTTTTTTACCTTTCTGCGCTTTATTTATGTTTTGTTTTTCGAGTTATTTTCGAAATCTTGCAGAAATGTATGCCAGTCCAAATGAAAGCGATCCACATGGTGAGTCAGTCGTACCTTTATGACATGGTGATGGCAATTGTCAGGCATCTGCTCAGCAGGAAGTACGCCGAAAGGGTGAGTCCTACAAATGGCAATATCTATGCACAAAAAAAAAAGCAAAAACAAATTAGGAACGTTCAATTGTCTTAGACTGCGTTTATACCTTGCAGCAAACCTAGCAGGGAATTTATGTGAGCTACAAACCACTCCCAAGAACTACTGGTTAACTATATTTTTTTACTAAAAAGTAGACAATAAAATCAAATCACCGCCCCCTCCCCCTCCCCCCCCCCCCCCCCAAAAAAAAAGAAAGAAACAAACACAAAAACAAACACAAGAATTAATTATTTTTAATTTCCAGTCCGCCCTCTCTATTTGCTCATTTTCGAGTCGTTTACGAGGCACTAATTGCTAGAGAGCCTAGATTTAAGAGAGGGAGCAACTGAAACCACGAAGAGCGTTTACAATTAAATGACGGACGCCCCTTGTGGAGATCGGCTGCGAGTGGACATGCGTTGGTGAGGAGGAGGAGAGCGGACGAACAAACAGAGACGCTCGAAGAAGAATCAACGCCTTCATGTCCCCTTCGCAGCTGGTATTGCAAACGCGGCCCATCAACCTAGTGAACCCGATCTAGCAGTTGCAAACACTCTAAGATCTAGGCACACTACTTGTAGTCAGACGCCAGGTAGCCTCCTAATTGATGGGGAGAATTGATTGCAGGCAAGTTATTTCCTTCAACGAGCTCATTATGGTTGGTTAGGATGCATGCTTTGTATTATTTAAACCAGTTGCGACACTATAAGCTAAGAACATTTTTTTTTCTTTAATTTACACAAATTTACCGGCACTAGGGAAACCCAAGTATACTAACCACACACGCAACGCCACTAACCACGAATTTCTTTTTTTTTTTTTTTTTTTTTTGTCGCAGCGGATTTTTGAAGTTAGAAGTGGACGTTTTTTTTTTTTTTTTTTTTTTTCAATCTCTCCTTCAATAAAATAAAAAAAAAAAAAATGATGACGAAGTTGTCGAGATCGTCCTTTCGGCGTCGTCAGCAAGGCTATCCTCAGAAATTTCGGCATCAAACTTTTGTGATCCCCTACGCGGTGAAAATATATAGATCCAGCTCAAGTACAGCAAACACGAGCATTGCGTGAGCATTCAATTTGTGATCATGACAAATAATGCGTCGACATCCATTCTCTTTTGTGACCATTCGCTGCCGTGTCGTCAATAACGGAATCTTGACAATCGTTTGCAAGTGACCACGTGTCCGGTGCTTTGCAAACCCCAGCGCGTGGTTGTGATAAACATTCGCGGCATATGATGGGTTCCATATCATGTGGCAGCTTGTTGAGGCTGCGAGTTGAGGCGGTGTACGCAGCTCGGTTTTCTGAAATTGTTTTCTTCTGTATATACACTTACCTAAAGAAAAAAAGGAGGACCGCGTGTTGTATGGGTTTTAAATGTGAAGAAGTAATTATAGCCGGTATTTACTCAAAATACAAATAGTTTCGCATCGCTCCTGTAAAAAGAAAAAAGAAAAACAACCACGCACACACAAGGAAACAGGCTTAGTACATTTTTGTATTAATCGTTTCATGGCCTACGCTTAATTTAATATTGAATGAGAAATGTCCAGTGTGAAAGTGAGGAAGCACGAGCGCAGGTTTAGTGACGAGTAATTATAATTAAAAGAAAACATTGAAAAATGAATACAGACAATGAAGCAACCTTCGTGGTACAGAGAGGCGGGAACCTGATTATCTGGTTATGGCTCTCTCATATACCACTTACAGCGCGCATAGCACGCATAACTAGCGAATCAAAACATTTCGTCGTAAGAATAAAAAAATATAAACAAACAAACAAACAAACAAGCAAACAAACAAACAAACTGAATGGCATATTGTGGTTGAATAAATTCAATTTTTAATCTTTTTGGCTGACCAGGTGGTTCCTTAGCTATCTCGTCAAACTGGCCATTTGGGTGCATATTTTGTGTGCGATATAAAAATTGTCTCACTGCCTACAATAACTAAAGATAAAATGTCACTGTATTTGCAGGTATCTGTGTTGTTCTTCTTTGTAATACAGCGTTCGAAGTGTTTTTTGTTTCGCGAAATAAACGTCGATTAAGATACCTAGACACAATAAGAAATGTGTTGACAAAAGAGTCTACTAAATCGTCAACGAAGCAAAAACACACACACACACACACACGCACAGACTTACGCACGCACGCACGCGCGCACACACACACACACGCTCACACACACACAGGGTTGCACACAGCTTGATAATTTGCATCGCGAAGTAGTTCTTACAAAATGGTATTGATAGGGAATAAAAAAAAGCAGCAATGCATTTTTATTTTGAAATATGTAAGTTTTGTTACTTAAAAGAAGAAATCATTGATAATAAAATAAGATACAAATACCTTAATTCAAAACATTATAGGCGAAATCAATAAAACTCTGGAAATGCTTGTTTCCTTACTGCGGTTTTTGAGGTTTAGAAGGAATCAATATAGTATTTTGAGAAACAATGTTCTTAAGTAGGGCTGAGCATTGATGAAAGGTTTTAAGCCGATTAATCGCCACCCTTTAATCGATAAATTAATCAATTAATTGGTCTCGTTTATTTCTATGCAAAATATTTTCAATTCTTTTTGTTTTGTTTTCTTTTGCTGAATATGATATAAAGGTGCAGTTCACAACTTGAATTATGAATCAATCGCGATGTGTAGTTAAGAACAGTATCACATACCTTTCGCAGTAGATTACTTTTGCGGCATGAGGCAAAGATTTGTGTATATATTTTCTGGAAAGACGAACTTCCTCTTATTGTACACAATAAGCCTCTGCTGCGCTAAACAGACACCCGAACGACGTTGAAGTGGAAGGAAACATGTGTGACCTTCTGCACTTATTTGGAATTACAAATATATCGCCCCTACACTTTACTTTGTTTTAAAATTTGACCAAAATTAACTAAAAATTTAACGGTTTCGCCTTTCCCTCCCTCTCGGTCAATGTACTTACTCCCATTTTTTGGGACGTGTACGACCCTTACTTTTTCTTTTTCGTTTTTGGCGTGTATCACTTGAAGAAGGGCGTCCGACCGAAACATCGTGTATTCCTTCCGGTCTACGTTCTTGTTTAGAATAGCACAACCATATATTTGCGATTTCGTGTCTAAGCTCATCGCGTTCGGTAGCGCCCCATTCTCCTGGATACTTCCTACGCAAATCGCAGTGCACATTTATAAAATAATTAAAAAACAGGTCGTCGATTCATAAATATATGATTACTTGAACATAGAGCGTATTACAAACGGTGTAGTGCTCGCTCTGTTTAGCTTATTAAAATTGTGTCATTGGTGGTTACCGGTTATTTTACAATGACATGAGCTGTGAACAATTTGAAGCAGTGGAGTACTGAGGCCATTAATCTCAGACTTCACTGAGATAACGCTGATTTAGCACTAATGCTTGCCTTGCCACGCATTACACCATGCGAGCCTTCTGACTGGTGGTAAGTCATTTCTTTTACGCAGATACACCTCCACGGAACAAACTTTGAAGGGCTGCACAAGGAACTGCCCGCTGATACGCTGCCGGAAGTGTACGGAGGCAGCGGGCCCGCCTTAGACTTCGACGCCTTTTGGAGCCTCGTGGATGCGCAAGAACCGTCCTTCGTTGAAAACAATGGCTACGGATATCTCAAAACAAAGAAAAAAGGAGCGAAACTTGTGAAAGGAGCAACATAGGAGATTACCGTCCTCGGTGCTCCCCTCCTGTCTTGCATGTTCGCAAGAAACGCGAACATCAACGAAGAGACACCGGTAAAGCAATACAGAAACCCGTTTGAACCGACAATATGTTTTGTAGGAATCTTTGTTTTTATGGAGTCAATTTTGGGTTGACTCACTACAATCACATTTTTTCTTAGTCTATTGGTGCGCGCACATGGTCTCGTTATATGTATGTATATATATATATAAGTAAAAAAGCCACCGAGGTTCAAACAAACTTGGGTAGTTTGATCGGACGTTTCGAAGGGGGGCCCTTCTTCTTCAAGCGTGACATAAAAGTGAATAGGTTTACATGATGGCCAAGAATCTCACTCGGAGAGGGAGAGGAGAAAGCAGTACATGAGAGGGGACGACAGAAAGCACAACATAACAACACAAATGCCCCAAAAAGTGACGGCAAGAACAATTATATTAGAAGTTAAGATTTACGACAGGCGGAATACAACGGTGTCCCCAGCCCCGAAAAACCTCCCCCGACGACGGAACTGCGATGGCACAGCCCCAAGGGCAAGAAGCCACACGCGGCCGGCAGAGCGAGGCATCTGGGGCCGACCCCCAGATGTCACGATGTCGACGATATCAATTGTAGGAATTCACTCTTCTGTTATACTAAAAGTGGTATATTTCTCCGCTCGGCATGTAAGTGCGCGCCTGGCTTCAAACATATTTGGCCGCTTCAAAGAAAGCTCGAACGCTGACCCTTATCAGGCGTGGAGTCCTCGTGTCACCCCACTACAAGATCTCGAGGCAAACTTGCGAAATAGGGAAGTGAGAACACATAGGAAAATAGGCTACGGCCTTTTCAAGCCTAGTGCTACCCCAGCGTTGTTAGTTAGCGCTGACCTGGCTGATGCGACGCTGACTCCTTTTCATATTATTGACACAGCGCTGATACATCTAGAGCAATATCAGTGCTACTTTATGTTCAAGTCAGCACTGCGTCCGGTGCTGTTTCCATATTTCCTCCCACCTTAAAGGGCCACCGACAACTTCAAGATCAATACTTTTGCAGTCTCAAAAACCTCAAAATACGTAACTACAAAAAAAAAAAAAAGTCCATCGCGGAAAAAAAAGAGAAAATGTTTGGCACGCCAAAGACCCAGTCAAAGTTTGCCCCTGCTCCCCCGATTCGAGCTATTCCTTTTTTTTTTCTTTGGGTGACGTAATCGGCGAAGGCACTTTTGAGAACGTTAAAGGGCCCCTGAAAAAAAAAAGTTTTTTTTTTTTTTTTTTTTTTTAACAGTCTGGTTTGGACACGAGTGTCAAATATTTATTTTCCGGGAGAAAAAAAATTTTGGAACAATATTGACAGCGCGAGATTTATTTTAAATTATGACCAGAAAGTCCATGACGTCAGCGAATGGTATTATTATTGTCATCTATAAAATACCTTCTTTTTGTAGTGTTATTATTAACGCATACAAATATTTAAGATCTTCCATTTTTGTTTGAAGTTTTGCCCCAAGGACACCTAAACAGCCCACCAATTCGGGTTGGACAATCCTGACTGGGTATCGTGTTTCTGATGAATGTTGATTGATTTGTTATATGCTATATATTAAATGACTTGTTTGGCAGGATACACCCGCGCAAAAGTAGTTGCATAAACCAAGGCACTTAAGTTTGGCTCTTCACGCTCCGTCGTGTAGGGCCTTTGCACTATTGCACGAGACCATATCGAACTAAATACAACCTTGCTTCTGGCTTGAAATCTCCGGCAGGATTGAAGTCGGCGCCATTTGTCTGGTTCGTCTTATTTTAGCTAGATTTTTTTATAAAAAGAAGCAACGTTTTTTTTTTTATATATATATATATATATTTTTTTTTTAGTTATTTTTTCGTCGTGATGGACTGCGCTAGCCGGATAGTCGGGAACCTAGAACATCGACTGGTACTCCATTTTAATGAATACCAGTATTCATTCGGGCTTATGACGAGTCGGCGCTCGAAACGTCGGCCAAAAGGTCTCCGGCATGCAAACTCCGTCAAAAATAAAACACGCACACTGACACGCACACACACGATGTAAGTTAGGGTTTAAGCGCCCTGAATTCGTGCCGAATCGTACTCCATGGGTTTCGCTGTCGGCGGAGCTAATTGCTTCTGCGTTTTACCCACAACAAAGACGACGGTAACGGAGAATCGCTTGCCTACGTAAAAGTATGGGAGAAATAACTGGAAGTGTTACTGGCAGGGCCGGAGACGGTTCATTACGTTAGATTACGTAGTTTTCTAACACCTTGCTAGGTACAGTGTCCGGAAGTGACAAGTTCAAGGACTCTGGTAGGGGGAAGCAGGGTAACCGCAACCCAGCATTAAAGCAAGCCGTGTCTCAGTGACACTTTTTCTAACCCTCTTGCCAAAAAAAAAAAAGGGTTTTTTTTTTTTTTTTTTGTTAGAGGGTTTTGATTTAGCGAACATAAGTTTAGAAATCGAGTATTCGATCTTGTTTTGATACATTCTCATTGATACTTCGCATTGCAACTCGCGGGTTGGTGTATGACGGTTAACTACTTTATTTTTCGGCCTCGATATTTTCCCAATTTAGAAAAGTGCGGTTTTCAAGACTATTTTGTTGGGACAAAATTTTGCCATTGGTTGTGGTGTCTTCTATCCGTATCGTTACCATTGGGTAAAATATTCGGAGGTATATAATATACGACGTTATTCAAGTAGAACAATTAGTAAAAGTTAGGTCCTGAAGAAAATTAAGTAGTTTACACAATTCAAGAGGTGGATTGAGCTTTACTCCTAAAATGAAGGGAACGCGATAACGTATTTTTCCATGGAAGTTTATTTACGCGTGCATATTCGTGCGTTTAATAAAAGAAAATGGCATGAAGTAGGGTGCGCGTTCGTAGGTGGCATAGGTAAGGAATATACGTAGAGATGACGGCAGTGACTCTCTTTTATCTTCTTCGAGAGTGTACGAGAGGCATATTGAGCGCCATTAAGGAACACTCTAAAATTCGAAGCTCCTCGTGGCCACCATGCCGCATCCATCTGGACAGACTTCCTCGTACAGCTCCTGGCCATTGGTGCACGTGAGGTCCACGTCGTAGATCTTACCAACCTTGGGGTTTCCATCGACGTCTTCGGCTGAAAAAAAAAGAAAAAACAAGACGCAGGATTCGTTTTTACAAATACATCGTTAAAGTTTCTAGGAATCGAACGAAATTGTCAAAAAAAGATTGGGTACAAATAATAAAAAAAAGGATTGTTTTACTAAACTATATTACAAAAAGCGACATTTTCACGCTCTATTCGTCACATTTCTAAACAAGATGATTTTAAGGACGTAATTCCGGTCTTCAAAAAGGGCAATGGGTGACTCGTTTTTGAAGGGCATTCGCTTAATTTTGATCGTTATGATTGTTTTTCTTAAAATTACAGCTTGATGTTTTAGTCCCACTTTTTTCTTGGAGAGTTTATCAGTATTTACATAGTATCATTTTAGTAAAAAAAGTATAGATTTTTTTAGGTTGTAGAAAAAAAGCTACAAAAAATACCTGTTTCAACATTTTGTCCGCTTGCGTAGAAAACATTTTCTTACAAATTGTTTTAACATTTTGTAAGAAAAATAATAAACAAAATTTCGGAGACGTTGAGTAGGAAGTAGGCTTTTTTATCAATAGAAAACAAGAGGGTTGACGTTTTTTGACTTGTATCGGTGCTGCTCCCAAATACTCATTCCACGGAATTGATGTTAAATCTGTTTGTGACGTATTTTGTTTTCTGTTCGCGTGTTGACGTTGATGCCGCACACCAGCGTTTGTGCCGGTAAGTGTTTAATCTATCAGTTGATTTTTGACTAATTAAATTCGTTTTCGGGCAAAGTTACCCAAGTACCACAAATATGAGCTTCCAGAAAAATTAGAGGACTGGAAGTCGATGGAAAAACTGATTTCTGTGTAGATGGTGGACGAGCTCCATCCAAGTAATTTCACTGGGCAACAACGTTTCGATTCGAATGGTTTCGGTATATGAAAGGAACGGCGTTCAAGAGAGAAGGCCCTGAATGCATGTATTGAATAGCATTTGCTGGATCATGTTCGTCACTATGAGTTGGCGCAAACCCTTTCTGGCGTTCCCTAAAGACCCCCGTTTCGGACATCCCGCGTGGCTGCACCTGCGGGAGCCGCCTGACATAATGTGACATAGTTCGCGAGGCAGGGTTGACTCATTACCAAGCCTTGGCCAAAGGGAAATATCACGTGGCCATGGAGGGCGGTTCAAATAAGGGGATCGAGATGACGACAGGCGACCGGTACCGGTCTCTCCATTGAACGGACTCCTAAGCATGGAGGTCCTGACTGTTGGCGAGGACTCACGGAGACGTCGGCACTGGGCCATCTCCGTGGGTTCCGGCTCTGCCCGTCTTCGGCCGTGCATGCCGTAAGCCACCCGACGACAAGGACGAAAAAGAGGGGACCCTCTAGCGGCAGCAGACCGCCACCGAAGTACCGCGACACAAGTCCCCGCAGGACCATGACGTGAGCGAATAAACAGTTACATGAGTGCTTGTGTGTGGTGTGATTGAACTCGCAGGCGATCGGTCGGGAACGTGGAATATTTTAAAAAAAGTGTAAACTGTATTTTGCAATTCACAGAAGTTCCCAGTGCGAAACTAACACAAAACCAGCACCAACAACGTTTTCTTTTTTCCCCTCCCAAACCAGGCAAGCGAAGAATAAAATAAAAAGCAAATTAATTAAACCTGTATAAACACCGCTCAAACTGAACATTTAAGATTGACGGTCCGCGCTCTGTCTTTATACTTCTCTGTAAACGTCATTCTCACTATGTTTCTTGAGGTTGTCACAATGGCCCCAAAATGAACCGCGCCAAGTCACTGCAGTGCAGTGCTGAAAATAATGGGTTACTAATATCGACTTTACTAGTAACGCGTTCCATGTTTAGTAACGGGCTGACGTAGTCTTTATATTTTTTGAATG